GGGAGCACTGGACCATGGGTCAACCCTGCTGGCATGGAAGAGAAGAATGCATGGCAGCGTTATAGACAAAAGGAGATTCAGGGACCCCAGGATCCTGTAAGAGCAGAGATGTAATGTAATCTGGGACTTGGGCCCAAGTTTAGCCAGTATACAGTCCCCATAGGTCCTCACGTTATTGTATGTGATTTGGGTAGCCAAGAGCTGTCATGAAATGGTAGCTTCAGGGGCATCTGACGTCACTGCAGTCCTCTAGACAATTCATATTTTGTATTTATGTGATTGACCATGATACAAGACCTCTAAAAGAAACTGGTTTCTCACATTTCGCCATCCGTTGACAGGCAGCTAACTATGTCGCAGGCAATATTCATGGTACCCAAATGTGTGACTCTCAAGCTTTACCCTTGCTGGACTCAGCAGTGAGAGATCTGCGAACAAGAAATTATGGGATGGCACCGGGGTGCCCCATGCGCTTAGAGAGCTCTAAGGAGCCTGGCCTGACTGTTGAGGGGATGGAAGGGAAAACAGTTCCTTCAGGGGAGGTGATGCTTTTGGTGAACCTGAAGGCTGAGGCATCAGCAGCCTGTCTTCTAGCCCCAAGTTCTCCATTGGCCCCAACCTCACCTTGTTTGCTGACTCACAGCCAGTTCCCCCATCTCTGACGTAGGAAGACAGCACCCACCTTTTCTGCCTCTGGAGGTGAAGTGAGGTAGCATTGAGGCTGCTTGTGAGAACATTCACTTATCGGAAGGTTCTTCCTTGAGCCTGGCAGCGTGTGTTTGCAAGATGGCGGCTATGCTGGGGCTTGGGTTCAGTGTGTGGCTGTGAACCTCACAGTTGTCTTCCCTAGACCAGTAGAGCTGAGTTGTATTGGTCATGACCCTGACTTTTTTTCCCTGACAAGAGTCTGTCATTAGTCTGATCAAATAAAGCCCTGTCTTTCTCTTGCTAATGGTATGCTTTTGCAGAGACCACTTAACCAATTAGAGCCCAAAGTTTCCTTTTTCTTTTTCTTTCATTTTTTCTTCCTTTCTTTCTCTCCTTTTCTCTCTCCTCTCCTTCTTTCTCCCTCCCTCCCTTCCTTCCTTCCTTCCTTCCTTCCTTTTTTTAGCTCCAGAGGTAGAATTTAGTGATTGATCAGTTGCATATAACACCCAGTGTCATTACATCAAGTGTCCTCCTTAATGTCCATCACCCAGTTAGCCCTTCCCACCCACCTACCTCCCTTCTGGCAGCCTTCAGTTTGTTTCCTAGAGTTAGACATCTTTTAAGGTTTGCTTCCCTCTCAATTTTCATCTTATTTTATTTTTCCTTCCCTTCCCCTGTGTTCATCTGTTTTGTTTCTTAAATTCCACATAAAAGTGAAATCATATGGTATTTGTCTTTCTCTTATTTCACTTAGCATAATACCTTCTAGTTCCATCCACATCATTGCAAATGGCAAGATTTCATTCTTTTTGATGGCTGAGTAATATTCCTGTGTGTGTGTGTGTGTGTGTGTGTGTGTGTGTGTATCACATCTTCTTTATCCATTCATCTGTCGATGGAAATCAACCTGGTGAGCCCCAGGTTTGTTTGTTTGTTTGTTTGTTTGTTTTTATCTGTAAAACAAAGGTGACAGTACAAACCTCGCAGGCTGGTTGCGAGAAGATAAGACTTCGTTTGTATAAAATAGCAGCCACACAGTGACTACCCAAATAGTTGCTAATATTGGGAAAGAGGAGTAACCCAGAAAGGGTCACAGAGAATCAGGGTAAGCCTCCTGCTTGGCCACTTTTTGTGGAGGTTCCTGCTGTGGTTGAAGTCATGCCACTCACAGAGCTCAGGTTGAGAGAGGATAACCTACCCTGTGGCCCATACCTGTAGTATCCAGGTAATTGAGATTGGGTATATTCTTAATTACTATTATATACTCAAAAAATACTGCTATATTACTCAGGTCATTAAGAGGAAGGAAATCTAGCCACATGCAACATCTTGAACAAACCTTGAGGACATTATGCTAAGTGAAATAAGCCGGACACGAAAAGACAGATACTGATATGACCCTGCTTTTATGAGGTATCTAAAGTAGTCACATGCATAGAGAGAGAAAGTAGAATGGTGGTCTCCAGGAGCTGGAGCAGGGAGTCAGGGGGAGTTGTTTAATGCATGTGCAAGAGGAAGAATTCTGGAGATTATACAATGTATAATCTCTATAATGTACTAACACTTAGGATCTGAACACTTAAAAATGATGAAGATGGTAAATCATATGTCTATTTTACCACAATTTAAAGTAATTTAAAAGTTTATTAAGCATGTGCCCATTGTCAGACATTATCCTGGCACAAGGGGAGACAGTGTGAGTAAAAACAAACATGGCCGCCCTCTCCCGTTATGGAGCTCGGGGGCTGGCAGGGAAGATGTGTGTCAAGTGGAGAATGATTTTAATGGGCAAAAGTGCAGCCAGGACATGTCCTACAACTGGTACCATGAGAACTTCCAGTTGGGGAACCTGACTTCATGAGGGAGGCCAGGCCAAGAGCCAAGGTGAGCGGGACAAAGGAAGACCATTCCAGGAACATGCAGAGCATGAGCCAAAGCGGTGAGAAGGGAAGCTCTGCAAGAAGCCAGTGTGCCAGAAAGCAGAGGATGGAAGGAAGCCCATGTGAGAGGAGGCCGGTGAAGACAGAGGGGGCAGACCGCACAGCTATGGTGGCCATAGTGAGGAGGTTTGTCTTTCTTCCTGAGCAGGCTGGGAGGGTATCTGTTGAGGTTTCTGAGTGAGGTTGGGAAGATAGAAAAGCAGGTTTGTGTTTTGAAAGGGTTAATCTAAAAGAACATTTTTCTTGTAAGGAAAATTCTTATCAAACACAAACAGGTGTATCTCAACTATCCATGGGGAGAAATTGAGCAAGTCTCCTAAGCGCTTCTCAGGGCTCTTGTGATAGGCCCTATATCCTGATGTTCGCAAGGCCCCTGTAGAGTCCACACAGAGACCCACATCCTATAAGTCCAGATGGTTACAGATTATAATCAAGTTAACGAACTGCTATCAATATGTTCTATCGTCTTACCATGATGAACATGTCTTCATAACTAAAATGTCAAAAAAGATGTGTACAACTATGGTTTTTATGTGACTTAGGGTTAGCAAAGTAGCAGAGATTATTGAATTTATCTATCATGGCACTGTCTGGGTATTCTGTGGGGTCAATGAGATATGGGTGAATAGTAAAGATTTTTTAATTAACCATTTTCTTTTTTAAAGATTTTGTTTATTTGCCAGAGAGAGGGAGAGAGCAAGCAAGTACACACAAGCAGGCAGAGAGGCAGGCAGAGGCAGCGAGAGAAGCAGGTTCCCTGCCGAGCAAGGAGCCCGATGTGGGACTCGATCCCAGGACCCTGGGATCATGACCTGAGCCGAAGGCAGCAGCTTAACCCACTGAGCCACCCAGGCGTCCCTAATTAACCATTTTTTATTCCACAATTTTTTGCTGCCCTTATAGAAAAATCAACAAGTATATTTTAATTAAGATATTCATGTAAGTTGTGTTTTTTTTTTTTTTTACAGAAATACTGAGACAACTTTTTGGCAATAGCTTTGTTAAATATATTGGCTATTGTACAACTCATCTATTCAAAGCTAGAATTTATCTCAGATCATTTTAGTTGTGAGTTAGGTTCTCATTAATTTCAATCTGGAATTGGCCCCTGCTTGGGGCACACCAACCTGAATTGTTACAAAATCCTTAAAGCAATATTGAGATTCGAAAATGGACCCCAAATAGAACATAACTTGTGGTTGTGAGTTTGCAGGAGGAGCGAGAAAGCAAACATGGTAATGGGATCTCGTACAATAAATTTTCTTTTTTTTATTGAGATATAATTGACATGTAACATTATATTCATTTTTTTTTAAGATTTTATTTATTTATCTGACAGAAATCACAGGTAGGCAGAGAGGCAGGCAGATAGAGAGGAAGGGAAGCAGGCTCCCTGCTGGGCAGAGAGCCCAATGTGGGGCTCGATCCCAGGACCGTGGGATCATGACCCGAGCCGAAGGCAGAGGATTTAACCCACTGAGCCACCCAGGCGCCCCACATTATATTCATTTTAGGTACAATAAATTATCACAGAAAATGTTAGAAAATACTTCAGTTGCATCATATCAATCTCTTTCATTAAACTACAACTCTCATTGTCTTTTCATGTAATAGCTTGGTCTGATACTAACATGAAGTCCTGGCATCATATTTCACACATCATATCTGGACATCCCTACCAATTTAGAGTAGTAGGAATGGTTTGATGCGTAAACTGTTCCTCAGGTGCCATGTGCAGGGATTGTGACTTTGGAGTTGCTCCTGAACTACAAAGTGAAATGAGAGAAGGAACAAGAATACAGACAGTTGGCAAAACTGGGGATGGTGATTGACTGTGCCAAGGATCACTTGTGTTCATGTATCCAAAAGACAGGAATGAGCAGGTGAATCAGACTTCTGTCCTCTTGCTCAAATGCTCCCTGAGCTCTGAGGCAGCCTCCATCACCGCCATTGCTGTACTGGCAGTGATGAAACCCTCAAACATTTGGACATAGTTGCCTATGGTCAGAAGGAGCTCAGGACAAGGGATGTGGGGAAGCAGTTCCCTGGGGCTAAGATGGTGTTAGTTACAAGAGATGATGGTTAGAATTACTCCAAGGCACAGAGACACTCATGTACCTGTAGTAAATTGTGTGTGTGTGTGTGTGTGTGCATGTGTGTGTGTTAGAGTAAGAGAGGGAGAGTGAGAGATACATCAGGCCTTCTAAAGCACAGAGTAGAAGATAGGGACCCCTCTGCCTGGTGTCTAGGATACTACTACTATACTACTGGCAGGCCCTTTCCAAGTTCATGTTCACCCAATCAACCTATTCTTCATAATATAGACCAACATGGCCAGGAGGGTCTTTCTTTTTCAGCGTGCTCCTTTCAAAGACCACTGACTGTGTTTTCCCCCTTGTGTTGTCTTACCAGGAACTGGTGAAAGTGGCAAAAGCACCTTTATCAAGCAAATGAGAATCATCCATGGGTCCGGTTATAGCGATGAAGATAGAAAGGGGTTCACGAAGCTGGTTTACCAAAACATATTCACTGCCATGCAAGCCATGATCCGAGCCATGGACACTCTGAGGATACAGTATGTATGTGAGCAGAACAAGGTAAAGTGCCTCAGGGGCATTGGCCCTGCTTGCGGGTGCATGCTTTCCTCCTCTAGATAGCATGTGGCTGTGGACGGAAGGATGGTCAGGGTGCTTTGGTCAGAAACCTAGAACCCCATGGAGCTCCAGCTCCAGAAAAGTGTGGTAAACTTCAACTCTATGGTCTGTCTTCTGCTGGAGTTCCATCATGAGGGTATTGTGGTGGTCCCTAGCGCACTGACTTCCAGAAACGCATCCATTTAGATTCCTTTTTTTCAGGTACTGAGAGAAGGAAGACATATACATTTACTCGTACAGCTAAGATACCCCGTGAATTTCTCCATTGGCGCAGTGGAGATCTTGGGCTTTTCCAGAATGCCCAGTCTTAGGAAATAGTGTTGTAAATGCCCTGCACACCACTCAGAGCTGTCGGTGGGGTTTTCTTTCTTTATTTTTGGAGCTAAATGATGGTGTAGAAGCGTGATGCTTATGTCTCAACTGGCACCAGACTCTCATAAAGTACTAGTATCAAGCTGGTATTTACTTTGCTATCACTACTGGTTATTTAAAATACAGTTATGTTTCAGGGGCACCTGCATGGCTCAGTAGGTTAAGAGTCTGCCTTTGGCTCAGGACATGATCTTGGGGTCCTGGGATCAAGTCCTGCATTGGGCTCTCTGCTCAGCGGGGAGTCTGCTTTTCCCTTTCCCTCTGCCCCACCCCCGTCACCTTGTGTTCTCTCTCTTGCTTGCTCTCTCTCAAGTAAATAAATAAAATCTTTAAAAAAAATACAATTTGGTTTCAAAACATAAGAAAATAATGAAATGAGAATGTGGGAGGAGGAGGCAAATGGAAGGCAAATCCATTGGAAAATACTAAGTTCATTTAAAATCTAGACCAGGAATAGTTTGTTTTGTTTTTAATTTTTTCTTTTATTTTTAATATTTTATTAACATACAATATTATTAGCCCCAGGGGTACAGGTCTGTGAATCTCCAGGTTTACACACTTCACAGCACTCACCAAAGCACATACCCTCCCCAATGTCCATAACCCAGCCACCCTCTCCCTACCCGCCTCCCCCCAGCAACCCTCAGTTTGTTTTGTGAGATTAAGAGTCTCTTACGGCTTGTCTCCCTCCCGATCCCATCTTGTTTCACTTTTTCCTTCCCTATCCCCCAAACCCCCCATGTTGCCTCTCAAATTCTTCATATCAGGGAGATCATATGATAATTGTCTTTCTCTGATTGACTTATTTTGCTCAGCATAATACCTTCTCATTCCATCCACATCATTGCAAATGGTAAGATTTCATTTCTTTTGATGACTGCATAGTATTCCATTGTATATATATACCACATCTTCTTTATCCATTCATCTGTCGATAGACATCTAGGCTCCTTCCATAGTTTGGCTATGGTGGACATTGCTGCTATAAACATTAGGTGTACGTGCCCCTTTGGATCATTATATTTGTATCTTTAGGGTAAATACCCAATAGTGTGATTGCTGGGTCATAGGGTAGCTCTATTTTCAACTTTTTGAGGAACCTCCATACTGTTTTCCAAGTGGCTGCACCAGCTTGCATTCCCACCAACAGTGTAGGAGGGTTCCCCATTCTCCGCATCCTCACCAGCATCTGTCATTTCCTGACTTGTTAATTTTAGCCATTCTGACTGGTGTGAGGTGGTATCTCTAGGAATAGTTCATTTAAAATAATTGATACCATGATACAACAAGACCTCATGATAAATAGGAAAATTCTGTCTCAGATGAGTCTCTTGTGGGTCTACTAAAAAGAATTTAGCTTCTAAAATGTCAGCATTGCATGGGCTTTAGTGTGGACCCCAAGGACAACTTTCTCATGAACTTGTAGCAACTGTATTCATCTGTATTTTATGTATGGTCTACAAAGAGTTGTAAAGTAGTCAATCTAAGTTTTTTATTCAGTGACTGAATTACATAGGGACATTGCATGCACCTAATTTTTGACTTACCTTTCTATTGTGTCTGCAACCTCATGTCTTTACCACCATTTCCTTACACTTTTGAAGAAATGAAGGAATATATCTTCAACCTTCAAAAATGTTATGCTGAAAAATGTGTGTATGTGGGGTTGGGTTGGAGAATTAACCTTCAGTATATCTGGTGCCAAGCAATGTGAGAGGTGCATACTGAACCATTGGGAGATTCTAGAAGTGACTGTAGTGGGTCTGTGATATGTTGGTTTTGATACATGTCTTGTATCTGGTTGAAAGTGTGCAATTCTGGGGCACATGGGTGAACTCATTTGATTGAGTAACCTACTCCTGGTTTCCGCTCAGGTCATAATCTCAGGATCTTGAGAAGGATCCCTGTGTTGGGCTCAGCATTCAGCAGGGAATCTGCTTGAGATTCTCTTTCTCCTTTTTCCTCTCCCTCTGCCCTCCCGCTGCTTCTGTGCTCTCTCTCTCTGTCTCTCAGATAAATAAATCTTTTAAACATTGTATAATTCTTTTTTAATCACTTACACAGTTGACCCTTGAACACCATGGGTTTGAATTGCGTAGGTCGGTTCACTTGCAGATTATTTCAATAAATACGGTAATATAAAGATTTACATTCTTTCATGGTTCTGGAGGCTAGAAGCCTGAAGTCAAGGTTGATGGATTCCACTTGGGAGGTTCTGAGGGAGCCTCTGTTTTGTGCTTCTCTCCTAGCTTCTGGTGATGCTAGATATCCTTGGAGCCCATTGGCTTGTAAACATGTCACCCCAGTCCCTGCCTGTCCTCACGCAGAGTTATCTCCTATGTGACTCTGTTCTTATGGCATTCTCCTCTTTGTGTCCAAATTTCCCTCTTTTTATAAGGACACCCATCATTGGATTAGAGCCCACCCTCATCCCAAAGATGACCTCATCAGAACTTGATTATACCTATGAAGACACTATTTCCAAATAAAGTTACTTTCTGAGGTATGGGCGTGGGATGAATTTTAGGGGGACATTATTCAACCCAGGGCAGTCTGCCCTCTGCCCCCCCATGCATGTTAATTCCACATGCAAAATTTATTTGTCCCATTCCAACATGAACTATAAGTCTCAAATCTAATTGAAATCTCAACTCAAAATTTTCCAAATCTCATCATTTAAATCATGTAAATCAGGTGAGATTCTGGATATGGTCTATGTTGGGGTCAAATTACTCTCCTATCTCCTCTTCATTTGCTGTATCTGGCTACCTTCTTAATGCCTTCATTCTTTCTATTCCAAGTACCAACATTTATGCTTCATAAACTTCTTCTTAGCCCTCACAAAAATGCCTGGGATGAACCATAGGCTTACGGAGAGGCACAAGAGTGAGTAGAAAGAATACTGGTTGGGTTCCCAAAAATCTGGGCTCTGTTCATGGTTCCTCTGTAGGCCTTGGGCAAGAGTCAGCAATCTTTTTCTGTAAAGGACCAAAGAATAAATGTTTCTGGCTTTCAGGGCCATAGACTCTCTTTTCTGCTCTGTCGTAGTGCAAAATCACCCGTAGGAGAGGTGTCAACAAACGAGTGGGCTCCCTTAGAAACTATTTGCAAAATGTAAATGCTATTCCTAACTCGTGAGCCGTACAAAAACAGGCGACGAGTGGATTTTATCCACAGGCTGTGGTTGCCCACCCGAGTCCTTGCGGAAGCCATGCAACCTCCCTGGTCTTCCGTTTCCCCAAAGGTTAAATGCAGACAACACATGTTCTGTCTCCTTCCTAAGCCAACATGGGCAAAAGGAAGTGCAGGACACATGAAATGACACTCCAGAAATACAAGGTTATTATTGGGCCAAGTTCAAAACCTAAAAATGGACTTATTTTTTCTTCTATTACTTGTTTAGGTCTTTGTCATCCATTCCTTCCCTATTGTTTGCCAAATAATTTTTTCTGGGGGCTAGTCCCGATTCCAAAGGTGAAACTGTAACAAAGTACCCTGCTTAGATCATAAGATAATAAAATGATTAGTGTTCATGTATTAAGTAATTAGTGTAGGAAGCTTGATACACGTGTTCTTTACCGAGTATTGCATGACTTGAAACAAATGATTAGTTAGGAGGGAGAGAAATAGAACCTTAAGTAGTTTTATAGTCCATCTTTTCCTTGCTTATTACTATTTAATTCCATTATCTTGTATTTTTCAGAGGTGGGAACACTTTATTGGAAGTATGGAGAAGAGAACTAAGTGATTAGGGTGTATTTATTTATTAAGTAGGTTCTGTGCCCAGTGTGGGGCTTGACCTTAGGACCCTGAGTTGAAGGCTCTATGAGGGCCTGAGTTGAAGGCTCTATGAACTAGGCCACCAGGTGCTCCTAGAGGGTCTTATTTTACATGGTAGTGATTTTATTGCTCAGCTAGGTTGTTAAAAATCTCTGCCTATGACTTGATAGGCTTCTTTTTTTTTTTTTTTTTTTTGGAAAATTTTATTTATTTATTTGACAGATCACAAGTAGGCAGAAAGAGAGGAGGAAGCAGGCTCCCTGCTGAGCAGAGAGCACGATGCGGGGCTCGATCCCAGAACCCTGGGATCATAACCTGAGCCGAAGGCAGAGGCTTTAACCCACTGAGCCACCCAGGCACCCCTTGATAGGCTTCTTATGAAGGGAAATGTATCAGAAATTTAGTTCAGCATTTGGTTTTTAACCAATATGTTTGTTTGGTTTTTCTAATTAAGATATATAGCCTGGAAGATTATTTTCTTATACCTTTCCTGTTTTGTTTTGTTTTTTTTTTTTAAGGAATGATTCATATGTGTTTGCTCACTGTGTTGATAAGGCTTAATTTTCATGAATGTCTCTCAAGAGTGTCGTATGAGCACATGGTAGAATTTATGACTTCTTGAATAAATATTACAAAAGCAATCGCTCAGTGGCAGGGCTCCTAAACAGAGTCCGCTTATAACTCATGTTTACTAGTGATGATTTCACTGAAGCCTGAAGAGCTTCATATTTTTTGCTGTTTGTAGCCTGTCCAACTTGGGAAATTCTCATTCTAGGCCTGTCCTGCAGTGAAGGAAATACTTTTTATCCTTCTAAATGTTCCGCAGAATCTGTGTGGATGATGGAGAGTGT